GTAGTTGAATGTAATGAATTTAATGTTATCGCTGTACGTTTTATTTGTTTTTTCCCTTAACAACCGCTGACCGATGACCTGGTGACATAGAGCGCTGTCAGCGCTAAAGCGGTCAGGGGCTTATAATAATCATAATCGTGACACGGTTACTATCATTATGCTGTAACAGTTTATATGAAACAAAATATTCTTTTTTTTAAATTTGCTTCTGTGACAGTTAGAAAAAAATAAATAAAACCAAGCGCAGGATGTTAATGAAGTTCCGAGTTGTGTAAATAGAGCCAGGACGTTTGTGTCTGTGGTGGACGAAGGGTGCGACTTTAAATTAATTCGCGCGTATATACAAACTCTTTACTTTTTTTTTTAATTCGTTCTAAATTTAAAATTGAGAATTTTACATATTATGCTTAGATACGACGAATTCGAAATTTAAAATTTGAAATTACGTAACAGTTTGGCTTAGTTTTTTTTATGAGACAAGCTTTGGTTATGTTTATTTCTATTCTTTTGTCTGATATATGTAAATTATGATAACATTTATGTAATATTTTGCGGTAAATTTTCTGTTTAAAGTTAAATAGATGACATACTATTGTTAAGGAAGGAAATATATAATATAGATTATATTATTAACGTTGTAATGCATTAAACTCTATTATTATTCCGCTTCTAATGATAATTTGACGCCGGTTATATAATATTGGGAGACTTTTGAGAAACTTTTTTGGGAGAGAATTGAAGAAATGTGTTTATGTACGTACTTGTATTTATGTTGCTAATTTTGTTGTTTTAAATGGATTAAGTTAAAGTCTTTCTATAAAGTATAAAATAAAATAGTCCCGCTTGATTTTTATGTAGTAATATTCAAATAAGTTAAAAAAAGAAAAATGTATTTCTTATATTTTTTAATCTTTGCTACATAAAAAAATCTATTGGTGAATTGGTATAGAATTTCACATTCATTTCTATGTATTTAAAAATCCTCCATTTTTTAAAATTTTATCAACGGCATAGAAAATAAAATTTAGTAGGTACTCGTATTCCCACCGAAGCTATAAAGTAATAAAATCATATTAAAATGTCAGTTCTAAGAAAATTAGATGGAGAACACAATTTTGTTATTACCGGTTCTTCATAATGAATTTCTTTTGAATATAAATTAAAACATATTTCAACTTAGGTTCAGACGGTCTGTACTTTGAGTGAAGACAAATTATAATTCCGACCCCTTAATGTACACTGTTAACGCTTTATATGAGATTGAAGTAAGCTAGGGTTTTTAATGAAATGAATGAGTCTAGCACACGGGCTCGCTGATGCGGACATTGGAGGAGTCTAAGTCTACTTTAACCCTATTATATAAAGCCTTTTTAGTAAAAAAAAAATTTGGCATTCAGTTGTGATCCTTTGTTTGTATAATGTTATGGATTAAAAAAAAAAAGATTACGAAAATGGAATAGTTATAGATTCTTTGTTCTAAATTTGATTTAGTTATTCAATTACTGATTCAAATGTGTACAAAATCATTTCAATCATTTTTTTTCAATAAAAATATACATATATATTCTTCATTCTTATTATATAATACTGATATCTAAGACTTTCGCGAGTATTAATTTAAATGAAACAAGTATTTTGGTGTGAACTATCCGTATTCTATTATTTTAAACTACATACATAATACCCAAGTTTCGATTAATTTGCAGGGACCATGATTACGGGCAGACGAAATGAGAATATTAGTTTCATTCTCATTACTTATATATTTGTAGGTATATTTTATATGACATAATTTTGTTTTCAATCTATAATTCGGTCATTTTTTGTTTAGTTGACCTCTATTCATGATAAATACATTTTAGATGTAAACAGCGAAGTGCTATGGTGTTATGTTAATTGTCTGACTAATTTTATATTCAGGCGTTTTAACTGATCGTTTAAATAACACTATATGTATTAAAATCATTTTTTTACCCAATTACCTTTCAATTTGCTTGTAAGTTATTTTATATCTACAATATTAATTAAATGATTTCTGGTATAAATAATAAATATTCAGTTATAATAAAGTATTAATTAATGTGTAATTAATTAATTAATTTTATAAATCTTCAGTGATGTAACAATTATAATTATATAGTCATTAACGAAATGGCCATCATTTTGTATAACAGTTGGTTTAAAATTAAATTTAAATCATTAAATTAAGATTGATCGTGTACTTTAATTTTTGAGCATATTGTATTTTAATTTAGTTTTTGTATTGCCATTATTGAAAATGATTTGATATTTTGAATAAAAAAATTAATACGTCTGCAGTTTTTTAGTCTTCAAAAGATATAATGTATTAGTCTTCACGAGATATTTTCAACTGAATAGTATAAATTAAAATCATATTTTCAATAGAACTATGTTGTCCTCATTCTTAAATTTCGTATAGAAAAATTTAGAATGAAAAATTCATAGAAAAAGTTTGACACGATGGCTTAGTTTGTGCAATAATTGGAAAGCCTTATTCAGGAGTTGTAAGTTTGAATCCTGCTCGGGTCGATGATTTTCTCCTTCCAAAATTTTATTTAACCATGTCTAGTATTTAATAAATACATTGAAGTACCTGTTATGTTAAAAGAAAGAGAAAACTAAATCCTTTTAGAATTTCGCTCACAAACGAATCAAATTGTATTTTAAAGCAATAAAAAATATAATTAAGTCTTATGTTTTACTTTTATATACGTTTTATTACTTGTAAATTTTAATCTTATAAAATATTCGTGATTATTTTTACTTATCAGGAAACAGTTTTATTAAACATATATCTATTATCTATTTGTGTTAGAAGGTCTATGGTTTTTAAAAACGTAAAAAATGTCTTAGAAATTTTCAGAGATGAGGTATAAAAAGATAGGGTCGGTTTTAACTTTCTTCCAAATAAGGTTTCTCAATCGGTGTAGGAGGAAGTTATAGGGTCATTTTGATGTCAATCTATCCGTAATTTCCGTTGGAATTCGCTGAGGTTTTTTAAAAGCAAAGAAAATTTTTCCTCAATACTAAAGTTTAGTAAGTAACATGTCTGTATAGTAAGTAATTAAAGTAAAAAATGAATGTTAACGATAAGTAAAATTAATCGATTATATGTAAAGATATCCATATAATCTCTATTAACCCACTCAAGACTATACTATACTAGAGAAAAAAAAAACATTTTTTCTTTCTTTTTCCTATATTATCATCCCAAATCGGCTATCAGAGACTATTTACACGAAGGGTTGCTGTTTCCCTTTGTTGATATTGGCACCAGACCAACACTTCACATCTTCTCATCTCATTTTGTATATGTTCGATTGACAAACATTGTCACAATCACTATTCCCTCTATACTAGTGTGTATATAATCATTTTATATTTATGATGATTCAAACAATGTATGGAGGTGGTTTTAATATGAGTCACATTATATTTCCATTAAAATTAATACTATGACAGAATTTATTCCTATATGTCGAAATCAATTTATTGTAGATTTTATTGGCACTTTTTTCTTTCAGCATCGGATTTTCTTTTTAAGAGATTAGTCTTGGCGCGTAAAACGTGAAAGAAAATCATTTTATGGGCCATCGTCTTTGATCGAAAGCTCTTTGAAGTGCCATTTGTGTTTTTTTTCTTCCTTTTTTATTATGTGTTCTGATATATATATTTTTTTATACGAAAACTTCTATCTGGTCACTTATATTTTAATAAATTTATTATTTTAAATATGAATTTCTTATTAATATAAGATATCTTATTCCCTACTTAAAATAATAATTAGGGCTTGAAAAAACTATAGGTCAAATTGTAAATATGTATATGAAATTAGAATTTGAATTTCATTGTGTCATAAAGAACACTTTGTTTTGTTATATCATAAACTGAGTTTTTTTCTTTTTGTTGTAGGAGTAGCTTGTTCTTTTCATGAAGCTAAATTTAAAGAAAGCAAAATGTGTACACCGATAGCAAAAATGTTGTTTATAAATAAAAATAGTAATAATAATGTTATCTTATCGAAACAAACATTCAATGGATTATAATTTTAGTTCTTGATAACAGAAAATGTTTTTTAAACAGCAGATTATTATTTTTTCATTTGTTAATAAGAATGTAACACGTATTTTTTTTGTTCAGTTTAAAAAAAACTATGAAAACATAATGAAGTCTTTTTTTAATATGTTTTTTATCAATTTTTTTTGCGTAATGGAATTGAGTTGTCGCGAAAATTTCCGTTTTGTCTCGTAATATATAATATTGATATTTTTTATCACAACTCCATACTAACCTTTGAACTCTACTTATCTAAATATGTTTATATAGATATCTAATGATTCCAAATATAGAGTAGTGTATTATCTTACAATAAGGTTCAATTACAAAACCACAGATCAAAATAATTTTTGTACCAAAAAACTTTCACATGGTTAACATATTACCACACTATAAAATAAACCCATTTCCTTTGTATACCTTAAATTTTTCCAACACTGTAATGTTATTATTTGCGAAGGTTTAACTTTAAATATAACTATTCGATGCAGTCTGTAAGGAACCAGTTTAAGTAACCAGGCGAATGCGCTGAGGCCAAAGATAAGAGTAGGTAAACTAGTGAACGGCCGTTCGACTTGTTCCACCAGTAGGCAGTAGGCCCCTGCGCTTCGTAGCGAGAGGACGGCGCTTGCGCATCTTACAAATATATCTAGGTCGCACTCATGTGATAGCTCCCATTTCTCTTTTCCTTTTTTTTTTTTTGTTAATGAGAAACAGTGCTCAGTGATCGTAAGATTTTTATCATAACGGTACCACGTATTAAGTTATACGATTATGCATATGTGATTCGTAAATCAGTTTGTGCTAAATGAAAATAATTTAATCCCATGTGAGATGTGATATTGGAGTGTTGTATTAAGGCTTTTTTAATACGGTATACAGTCCGCTAGCGTTTCTAAGAAGCGTTGAATTGATTTTTGTGAATGAGTCAGCTAACAGGCGTCGGTATTGTTAACTTCGTCAACGTGCTGCCCACAATATCTGAAGGTAATACTGTATAGTACATATATGTCTCATGAATTTCTTTGTCTTCGTATTAATATATTATAGAATAGTATAGAGTTACTTTGATATTATAACGGTGTATGTTTTAGTTTATAATAACATTTACCCTTCACTATGGTATCAGCACTTAAGGTGTTTCTTACAACCGCCAACGTTCTATCTTGTTAGTGCTACTAACTTGATATCCCACGATACTAGCCTCATGTAACGAGTTATTTAAAATTGTTTTATGTATTCAAAGGTTGTGAGTTAAAAGATTGTTATCAATATTGAAAGGAATTGTTATCAATGAACTGATTTAGTTTGAAAAAGTATTTGTTTTATATAATTGTATTAAGTGTTGCTTTTAAAATAACGTATAAAGTAACAAAGAACGTTAGTAAAGCAGTATGAACAGAACTAGTGTTTTAAAGGTCGACCGCTTTTTTTTTTTTGGTTTTTTCTGCCAGTTCCTATAAACCAGTGTTTTGATGTTAAACTTTCTCGTTATTCGGAATCATAAATAATAAACCAACACAGACTTCACTTGATTTGCTCTCTCTTTAGTTATGAGATAACCATTATCATAATATATTATATGATTCATGTATTCATTCAGTCATTTTTTTTTACTTTATTTGTGAATTATAAAAAATCCTCTAGTTATACGATAGGATTTTACGTAATACTGAATATCCGTGTTTTTGTTTATAGACGGATTTTATTTTTAAATGTGTATTGATCGGGATTAAAGCGAATTGTTTTTAACGTCAGTTCTATTGAGTTTTGAATTTACTTTAAAACTGGTCTAAAGAAATATTTATATTGTTTTATCTTTACGCGAGTGATCAGGTGTTAGTGATCGGAAATCTCGACATTTGTCTATTCAAAGTTGACAGATGATGGTTCTTACAGCATCCGGCCGTCAGAAGCTTGTAGGCGCAGGTGCCTGTACAGATTGCAGCCAGGATGTAAACCATTAAGACATGAGATTTAATTCACTGTCTTCCCATTAACATATATCTTCTAGACTCGTTTAAATACTGATTGTATCGAATTAATTATTTATTTTTATTTAAATAACAGTCGGACGTGGTTCTTATGATTATGTTTTGAACATTAAAGCGATGTTGAGATCATGCTTTGATTATTCGAATATAACTTGGAATTAAAAATGCTATGACACGATAGTTTATTAGGTAAAGAAGTGGAACGTGTTGTATGGGGGGTTGCCGGTTCGAATACTATTCGTGTTTATGAATTTTTTATATTAAATTGTCTATGTAAATTTCAGTTATATTCGTAATTTTTATAAAGATTACTCTTCTTAGATTTAACTGGTTGAATACTACATTTTTTACACATTTGCAGTATGAGGTTTGATAAATTATTTTAGTCTCCTAATTTTGTGCTACTTATGAAATGTCCCAGACATTGACTTTATTTGAACGGCATTTTAAATACAAAGAAAGGAAAAAAAATGAAATCAAATATTGTATTGGGGAAAAGATAATAATTACTTGTGAAATTTACTTATTTTTTCATATACATATTTACTTTGTAGTCAAGCTTGCAAGTAATAAAAATATCTTGGGAACGATTAAAAACATTGTTTTTAAGTGGCATCTGTGGTTCTGATTCCTGTGAAATTATTCAATACCGTCGTTCTAAGTGGCTATTTTAATTTTTCTATATCGCTTAGCTATTATAGTTCTTATTACAGTAGGTTTAAGATTTATTTTATTTTCTATAAACCATGCGGGTTATTAGCAAACTTGTTGTATTTGTAGTGCATCGCTCCTATTTTTATATTCCGTTGCATATTACATTTCAGATGTCGTTTTAAGTTACCTCCTTATTACTCAATATTTTTTTAAATAATTTAAATATAATAAGACTGTATTTTTATATCATTGGTAATGATAAGACAATATCTAGTATTGATTCTCACAGGGTTTAATGTATGGGTCGAGTTTTAAATATTAACCATACCGTCATACTTTATAACGTCGTAAAAACTGTCTTTCACTTTTTTTTGATAGATCTTAATGAATTCGAGATGAATGCGGGACGCAAACATTGAACTTGCTCTTTTATTGCCCTCGTTTTATACCAATATGTAGAGAAAATTATTAGACACTCTCCTTTTGGTACGTTTTAATGTATTTTTTCATGGTTTTGGTTGTATATCTCAAATAGTACTTAAAGTATAAATAATTTTATTGAGTTGAATTGTTTTATTCTGTAATTTTATAGACTATTGCAATAAATTATCTAATAATAAACGTATTCAAAATTTCAATACTTTATGTCATTGTGTAACAAACATATACATTTATCGACATAAATTTAATAAATTCATTGATGTTTTACAATATTAGTAGTGGAATTATGATAATAGGATTTGGTATAGTTTTATAAACTTCCAAGTAAAACGCTAACAATTCAGAGAAAGTCTCTACTCTCCGCTTCAAACAAGCAACATTTAACATATTATCATCATTTCAATGGCTTAATAAATATGTAAATGTTAAATACTTATTTAATCAAGTGTTAAGCGTTATCTGTTAATACAGTCACGAGAAGATTCAGTTATTTATGTCAATATAAATACGTGTAACAAATCTCGTGATCCACGAATGTTTACCTATCGATTTAACGTTTAAGTACATCTAATGTGTTCAGTAATATTGATATTGTATGACGTTAACTTTATAATATCCTTTAATTTATTTTATAATTTTCATAAAAAGCGCTAAATTGTTTACATTTTAGTAAAATATATTATATTTTCTATGAATTTTGTTATATATTGTGGGAGTGTACGTGATTTTCGCATAAACAACACAAAGAACTGCATTAACAATTGGTATTAGCATCACAATAGTTCTGTTGCAGGGTCGCAGGTTCGAGGTCGAGACAGGCACTCGTTATTTTGTAATTGCTCTAAGCGGAGATTAAGTTTTTTTTTATTAGAGCTGAAATATAATTAATTTTATTTTAAGAACAAATTAAATATATTTGACTCGCCCACAGAGATAGTCTGCGTGCATGGTAAATAGGAAAATGCACGTTCCAAACTGTTATGTAAATTTTTATATTGTTGCATACAATAAAATATGAATGCATTCTCTATTGTAATTGCATCTACGTGTCGAATTGTGTAATATGAATTAACATCGGAATGAAGATATTGTTATTGGATGGCTTGTTTGCAAATATAACTATCACCTATACATTGAAAATACCGACCAAATTAATGAATATCAACATGAGTACATGGTAATAAGTATGAGGAATGTTCAAATAATGCTACTTCTGTATAAATGCAAATTTATTTACCCTCTGCTTGATCTGCGTAAAATTCTTATTAGTCCAGTCATTATAGTAAGTTCACCTCGGAATTCGAGATACCCAGCTGTATGTCTGTAAATAGTTGTATATTGACACCCTAAAAGTTGTCTCAAAACCTACATAAGGTAGGGTGTAAGCAACTATTAAATTTCAAGTTCAAAGGTCACAAAAATCGGTTTTTTGCGCTTTTTTTTGGAAATATCTCATTTCCTATGGGTTTTTTGCTATTTGTATTTATTATCAATATTGTAGAATACTAAATTCTCTACAAATTTTGTTTCAAAAAATTTTTTATACGGTGTACCGTTTTCGAGATAGAGGGCGGAGAGCGCGCGGTCACCGCATCACTTCAGGTCAACCGGTGCCTCCGGTCGAAAACGCGCCATATAAAGTTGATGAACTATCAATAAATCAATGATTATAAATATTTGTCAATTTTCAAAAAAGCAGAAAAACGTGGGGATGATTTTGGAGAATTGGTGAAAAGTCGTATAATTTTACAGTTTGATTTGATCGCTACTAAAGCGAAGTACCATGCTGCTTGTTTTACAAACTTTTCAAATAAATCATCATCATCATCGCCTCTTGAGACACCTCGTCAAGATAATCAAGTTACAGAAGCTATGTTAGAGATTTTCAATTACATCGAAAATAATAATGATTCTCAATTCACACTAAAAGAGCTTAAAGATGTCTTGACAGGGTATGTGCCAGATGATAAAACTATCATTACAAGACTACAACAGAAGTACTTAACCGATATCGTAATTACGAAGGAAGTTGGAGCTTTCACGATCATTTCTTTCCGTGATGCACACGCTAATATTCTATCAAAAGCTTGGTACGAAAGTAAAAAAATAGATCCTGAAGCAGAAAGGCTAAGAATTGTAGAAGCTGCAGCAGCAATTATTATTTATTATTAGAGATTTCTGCAATTACATGGACAGGTAAGTGTTGTTAAATAAATTAATACTGAATAAAAAGTGGATAAGTTAGGAAAAAAATGATAAAATATAATAAAATAGTTAATAAAAATTGACAAATATTTATAATCATTGATTTATTGATAGTTCATCAACTTTATATGGCGCGTTTTCGACCGGAGGCACCGGTTGACCTGAAGTGATGCGGTGACCGCGCGCTCTCCGCCCTCTATCTCGAAAACGGTACACTGTATAAAAAATTTTTTGAAACAAAATTTGTAGAGAATTTAGTATTCTACAATATTGATAATAAATACCAATAGCAAAAAACCCATAGGAAATGAGATATTTCCAAAAAAAGCTCAAAAAACCGATTTTTGTAACCTTTGAACTTGAAATTTAATAGTTGCTTACACCCTACCATATGTAGGTTTTGAGACAACTTTTAGGGTGTCGATTTACAACTATTTACAGACTTACAGCTGGGTATCTCGAATTCCGAGATTCTTACCTAATTTAAGCTTAAATGACTGGACTATATATTCTAAAGCACCATTGAAACAATATGTTACTATCTCAACCAATTAACTTGATGTTATACCTGAGTTCGTAATAAAAACTTCTGGAATCGCGTTATAGCCGCTCGTCAGTCGTATAAAAAAACAATTTAATATTCTATGCGAGCGCCTCCAAGACAAGGATCGTATTTCGGGTTCTCTTCAATAG